CGTTCAGCCATTTAAACGTGCGGCGTCGCGGTTCAGCATTGGAGCACGGTATTTTCCAGCGGGGCTCACGGTCGCACGTAAGTCGCGACAGGCTTCGAGTTCGATATGCATGTGCGAGATTGTTATGTTTCACAAATTCATATTGAGCCGCTCACTGGCCGAAGTATTCCGCAACGTCAAGCAAATTTAGGGAGAGGTTGCGTTCTCCAGTTTGCTTCCGGAGATGAAAGTCTTTAAGATCAACCTGGCTGCAGTTGCACGTCGTCGCTGGACTGCTGACACTTGAAAGCAGCTGGAGAGGCGAATCCAGAAAACAACCACAAAGTGACGAGAGAAGAACCAGGAGCACATCGTGCAGCAGCGAGAATGTATTTGAAGCTGGTAGACTGTTAGAATGCAGAAGTAGGCGTCGCATTAAGTGGCGAAGAAGAAACTTCAAAGACCACCTTGCAAGAATTAGCGGAACTAAGGGAGTATAGAGGTCTTACCACAGCCGCCTCATTGCCCCGACAATTCCCCTTTGGACTACCATCTTTTCCGAGTTATTGATGGCCACCTGCTCAACACCTTCACCAAAATAAGGATGGTATGAGAAGCGTTTCCCATTTCAATAAATCCGATATTTCAGGCTTTCAAGGTGACGGCATATACTCATTAGCCACACGTTGACAGTTATACGTTGGAAATCAAACGCTCAATGTAATAGCGCTAATTTCGATTAACAGAAATTTGTTTGAGCATAATTTTGATGTTCCGAATTCATATGTGTAAACGTCAGCTAAATTTGTGATACCTATTGGTCAGGTCATGACCGAGGGTGTAGAAAGTCAAAGGTTTTTCTAGAGCAAAACGTGGCAGACTGGGGAAGGGATCCATAGAGGTGCTCTCAGACACTGATACATGACCTGTTCTCCTCATTTACAACATAGTTTTCTCGAGAGAAGAGTGGTGGGGTCGTCCGTGATCTATTCAACTTAGGAAGTGGTTGAAAAGAAGTTACCTTCGAAGGGCGGCAGAGGATGCAACCGAGAAACAATGGTTCAATTTCAGCTGAATGAGTCTGTACGGAGGGGAACCCAACTTTTGCATCTTCGCGATTGTTCTTGCTAGTCTTTTGAACCAATACAGTGCTTTGTGGACCCTTTTGTCAATCCTCATATTTTCATACCTTTGTACAGCTATCATTGGGCCTAACTTTCTTATTCGCTAGTAAGTGATTCACATGCACTTACATGCAGGCCACAACTCGACACGTCTGAACCACATTTTGGGCTTTTGACAGATATGAAGCCAATGATACAGTTTAATTATTTTAAATTTTACTTCGATCATGAAAACTCACTAATCGCCGAGCTTGACCACGAAAAATGAATAAACCAACACACTTGCAGCACCATTGATCGCTTGAATTATCCCTGGAAACAACATTTCACACAAGGTCTCTGGAAATTGGATGATGACCAAATAAGGACTCGTTCAGGGTAAGTCGAGCAACGGTTACACAGTGCGCAACAAAATTATAAGGACACCCTAATATTTTGGTTCACCGGGCTTGCCAGCGAATTTTGAGCAATGAAACTTATACCGTTCGATTCCTGCTATGCGAAAACCTAGGATTACCTGTTCCTTTTAAATTTTCAGGTAGCTCTTTCTTTGTTTTAATTTGAGGGAAAAGTCTTCTTTGTAACAAAAGTATGTGGACACCCGCGTCAGATCCGACTTTGGCGCGAAAATCCCGATGCGTTTCCGGTCATTTTTGAAATAACCGTTGTGTCATCATGCCTGTACGTGGTAAGCTTCTCTCTGAAGAAGAACAAGCGCAAATCAGGGCTCTTCATGAAGCCGGACACTCGAATAGACAAATTGCACGTCAGCTCGGACGCTCTCCTACATGCATTGGGAACTACATTCAAAATCCCGGTGCCTACCGCTCAGCTCGAATAGTGGGACGACCTCGAAGCTTGACAGCTCAAGATCACAGAAGAATAGCTCGAATGGCCTCGAATTCTACCTTATCTCTGAATCAGATTCGTGCTTCAATGGGATTGGCGGTCTCGAGGATGACCATATCACGGTCCATTCGATCAAACGAGCACATAACACGAGAGGTAATGAAAAAGGCGCCCCGTCTAAATGCTCATCACAAAAACGCAAGGCTGGAATTCGCACGCAGGAACATGGCAACTTCGTGGGACAAGGTACAACTTTTCGAGAGGGTTTGAAGTTAAGTTTAAACGTCATTTTCTGCATGTTTTCCGTTTAGGTCATCTTCAGTGATGAAAAAAAGTTCAATCTGGACGGTCCAGATGGATACCGCTACTACTGGAGAGATCTTCGTCACGACCCGCTAATCCACTCGAAGCGAAACTTTGGAGGAGCTACATTAATGGTTTGGGGTGGCTTTGGAAGCAGCGGCAAATTGGAGCTGGCATTTCCTTCATGCCGGATGGATAGTCAGGAATATCAGGAAGTGCTTGACCAGCATGATAATGCATCTGTTGCCTCACGGTCTACGAAGGAATGGCTCCAACGACACGGTGTTGCTGTGATGGATTGGCCAGCCTGTTCCCCTGACTGCAACCCCATCGAAAACCTATGGGGAATCATGGCTCGGCGAGTCTATCTCAACAACCGACAGTACAACTCCGTAGAAGAACTGAAGGCGGCGATCCTGGCTGTGTGGGAATCCATCGACGATACGACCATCACAAATTTGGTTCAGAGCATGCCCAATAGGATGTTCGAGCTGATCAGGCACTCAGGAGGGCCAATTGATTACTGATCTAATTCATATTCTTTTTTTTTGTACAGTGTCCACATACTTTTGTTACAAAGAAGACTTTTCTAAAATAAAAAAANAAAAAAAGTAAAAGGTTTTTCTGAAATTTTCGGAAGAACAATTATTCCAGGGTTTTTCCACCCGAATATTTGTATAATAGTGGTGTTTCAGCTCAAAATCAACTGGCAAGCTCGATAAGCCAAAATAGTGAGGTGTCTACATATTTTTGTTACGCTTTGTAGGCTATAGATTTCCATAGCTTTTTTGATTTTTCATAGTGTTATAGAAAACCCATCCTCATAAAAAAGCCTTTCCAAATAGAAACGTTACTCGTGCTCGAGGTTAAATTAGATTTTGAGGTCGCTCAAAGGATATCAAATTGCCTAGTTGCCACGAATATTTGACATATTTTGGGTAGCAGGCGAGGAGACCCAAATTTTATAACACTACTCCAGATTCCAGTATCGGTCTTGAAGTCTTCAGCTAAATGTTGAGCGGTTTAAGTAATCAAAATGGCATTTTAGGAGAGTAAACTTTAATTATCTCCTGCCCCTGGAATATTATCGGAGCGAAGGCAAAAAAAGCCCGATGCCATACTACCTCGGTTGCGACTTCGAAAGCTCATCTCAAAGGCACTCTTTTCACGTTGAAAAGTGGAAATATTCATGAAGAGCAGCAGATCTAAAGGAAGAAAGCGAGAAAATTCGCTAAAAACAAGGTTTTATCAAGGTAGTGAAAATAGAAGTTGTACGAGTTAACCATGACGGGAATGGCATGTATGAGGTGTTTGCACGAGATTTGATTTGCTCCAACTGCGCAAATAGCTAAATTCATCTCAAGCCGAAATTGTCCAAAACTGCTTTTTACTGTCTCTATGAGTTATGACAAGTTGTTTGGGTTTACTATATGGAAGTTCCTTGAGATAGTGCATCTTCTACAATGCCAGTGAAACCCGTCCACTGTGGGTGTGGCATTCACACGATAATCGTTTTTATCGTGAACTGTGCCTTTCAACATCTACCATGAGGGCATGACTTAGAAAATGGTGAAAATGATGTGTGACAGGCAAACTGACCATTCATGCATATGCCTCTTAAACGAACGATTTTAACGTAAAGCTTTCATCGTTATAGATGTGTTCAAGGGTACTATGACCGATAAGTTGATTTTGAAGGTGATCTCAGTTTCCTACTTCGGATGGAAAACTTCGAATTCACTCAAAAGATGCCGTTTATATGGTCGTCGCCGTAGATAATTCGAAAACAGCCAAAGGAAAATACCGATTTTGACGACAGCTTCGTGCGAGTCCCAACTCCACATCGCCATTGCATACATCGATCCGACCCTGCAATTGCCTGGGTATGACGACTGAATGCTGTCTTTTGAAAAGGTAAAACAACAGTCGAATCAGAGCCAACTGACTGATAGTCCAGACGAGATATTTTTTATGAATGTATTTAACAACTTGTATGACGGAATTAAGCTATGCAGCACTTCGGAGACACTCGACATATGATGAGCTTTGTTATTCTATACGACTATCTTCGTGATTGTTTGGCTCTATAGGGAGCTGGTCTCGCTGGCTTTACAATTTTTGAGTTCAAATAAGGGAAAAAACCGAAAGTAACGAAAAAGCTGTACAATCTTCGCTAGAACTTTTATCAAAATACCCCGTGACAAGAATAATAGAAAGCTTATCATCTACCGGTTCTTCAAAGGTTAGGGACTGTCAATCGGAAGAGAGGTCGGAAAAAACGAAGCTCGTCTCCAAGAAAACTCACGTTTCCAGGTTCGTAATGATGAACATAAGTGTGAATTGAGTGACAACACATACAGAGACAGCAATCACATCGAACTTCGGCAATGGATTGTAGTCAACTGAAATACTTTCTTTTTAATAAGGACTTCTATGTAATGCAAGAGAACTATGGTTTGGTCTGAATAGTTGACCGTGGTTGGTAGCTGCAGGAAACCATTTAATTTTGGAAAAATCACTTCAGACCACGCTATTCATGGGTGTGTTGCGATTCGTGCGATTCTGGGTGCGCGCGACAAATTGTGCGGCGAAATTCGGCGGGATTTGGACGACTGCAACGTTTATCATTTGGATCCAAATTTAAAGTAAAGTAGGTTAGTAGGATTGTCCGACCCTACTAAAGTACTCTACCTCAAGTGCCCCAATGATAGACGCCAGAGTTGTTTGAATCATCGCGAATTTCGCCGCGCACCCAGAATCGCACGAATCGCTCGTCCCCCCGCTGTTCATAGCTTCTGACCTACAACGAGTCTTTTTTGTTAAGAATCGAAAAATCAAAATGAGCATGCAGTTTGCGATGTTTTTACCAGAATTTTATACATATTTGACTGCTTTCATTCGCGGGTATCAATGGAATCAGCAAATTCGGCAAGAGTGTTTGAGGACACAAGTCAAATTATCATACTGTGCTTGTGCTTTCCGGGCACCGCGCTCTCTCTGTATGTCTGTGATTGTTCAATCTTATCAAACCCAACTTTCAACAGCCTATATCTTACAGCTATGATGAATTGTCTTATTACTTATTCTTTTTTCATGCATAATAGTAGTAAAACGGATTGTTCTTCCATAGAAGAGACCACCGCCTCACCCTCACCGCGATCGACTTCTTGCACGCCGACATAGCTTTCTTCGAGTAAAAGCAGAAGCAAAACCAACGAAAGAATACAGATGAACGTAGCAAACCATGCCGGTGCAGTGTACATGTCCAGGTGGAGTGGCCCGAATACGTAGCCGGGAAATTTGAGAGGGGCAAAGGCAACCTATAATATGAAGAAATTTACCTTCGAGTGAACAGGAGCGTGAATGCAGAAGTCTTACAGGAATACCAGGTCCAATTGTCATGCCGATGACATAACTGGCTTGGATGAATGTGATAGCACGGGCGCGATCCTTCAGGCTGCTGGCGGTAGACGCATAGGCCCGCATTACGCCTACTGTACCGGCTCCAATACCAATGAAGAACCTGAAATGGCTTTGATGCCGATGACAATGCCCACTTCTCCCAGTTACAACAAAATTTTCGTGATAAGGTTCATAAAAGGCTGGAAACAATGTTTCAGACACCGTGTAAGGTTGTTTCTACTTTTTGTACCATTGCGGGTTTTTTATTGAGAAAATTGCTGACGGAGTTGAAGCTGCTCCATGTATAAGAATTCTGGGTTCAAATTTCCAGGACTTTTATGGGCCAAATATCAAAGTTTGAACTCACCTTGCTACCATCATAACCCAACGACGTTCTTTTTGTTTGAATGCTTCCACGAAACAGAAAATGATATTCGAGATAATCATGATTATAATTCCACAGGTAAGCGGTTGACGCACTATAAAAACAGAAGATATTCACCTCCATGTTCGGTCTTCTTGAAACCTGGGCATATTGTATAATGTTTTTCCACTGTTTTGCCGTACAGGTTTGTTAAGGAAGAAACCGCTTTATTGGTCGACGTTTCGACAAATCGTCATCTTCAGGACCTGATATTCACCTCAAAGCTAATACTACCCGAAGATAAGAGGATAAAGTCTTCGGGCGTTAATCGATCCCATCTGAGAGATGCATCCAAGCATTCGAACTCCATTCAGAATCGTAACGACGGATTGAATGCGTGTGTGACCTATACATCCAATGACTTGCGGTAGCCAGCCGATGTACAAGCCAGTGCTTTCATCCTCCAGGCGACTGTGGAGTCTGTTACCAATTAACCGACCCCGGAGGAAAGGAAGTCTTGGTTGACCTGGGCGGATTTCGATCCGAGACTCGAACCTGTGACCATGAGTAAGTGATGTGCGCCACTTGCCTCTACACCACCTCCTCCCATCATATTACTCGGTGATACAGCTTAAAACTGAACTCTTCACTGATCTGTTATTGCACGGGGGAATCTTATTAACAGAGATGCACATATGCCTGCTGAAGTGACCCACCAAACGAGACTTTACGTTGGGAAGTACGCTTTTTGTCATCATTCAAGTCTACAGGAGAAAGGCGATTGCAAGGGAGTTCGTAAACAATCCAACCGACTGCGTTGAGAGCCTGAGACAGCACCTAGCCTATCACCTCGCTCACTCTGACTCCCCTTCATATTAAAACTCCATCTAAGGCACCTTTTAAGGAGATTTTTCTACCTAATAATTCAAAATCTCCAAGAAATTACAAGGCATACATATCCATGCTGTGATATTATCGATGTTGTAAAAGCCATTTTTATACCTCGAATCCTCCACTTCACACCTCGATCTTCTACAGAAGAATCAGAAAAAATCATCAGGAGCTGAAAATTAGGCCTAACAACTAGTCAGAATAGACCATCAGTAAACCGACCAGATCTAGAGCGATTCATCCAAAATCCAAAAGCCGGTGATGCAAGACCTTGACCGACTGAGAATGCGGCAGTGATAATACCAAAGAACGTCTCCGAAGCCGTCGGATCCACCTCAACATCGAACAATTTCTACTGATTCAATTATTATTTCTTTAGGTTTCAGCTGTGCTGACAACATTTATAACTAGAAGCTTCAAAAATAGAGAGATAAGAAGGGGTCATTAATTGGCACTTTTAGATAGCTAACATGCTTGATTTTTTTTCATGTTCGCAGAAAAATGTGAAATTATGCTGCAGGAAGACAAAAAATGACGTACCTGATTAAGAAATGGCCATAATGTAGGGAAGAATATAGAAAATTGAACACCACAAAACATGCAGATAGCCGTCAAAAGGTAGATAGATCTCCATGAAGTCTCCTGTTCCGGCACCCTAAATCCCTTAGAGAATGTAGAATGAAAGACAATGATTTGATGAAAATCCGTCTTCAAGAGGAAAAAGTAACTGAAGCTGCACCAGTCTCTATCAGCTTGCAGTCCACTTCCTTCTGATATCTGTTATTGTGGAGAGAGCAAGCAGAAATACAGTCACACTATCGTTAGAGCGTAGGAGTCTCATGCAAAACTAGTACGACAGTGTTGCCGTACAAGAAGGAAAGCATTTGGCACCGAACGTGTTCCTACTCAGTTCATAAGGCTGTTTCGTGAGTTCTACATACAAGTACTTCACGACCAGGATATTTCCGCTTGCCCAATATTTTCAGTGCCGCTATCGAGAACATGCGTCATAAGGAATGGGAGTCTGGTTGTAAAAGTCGACTACCGCTATTTACGCTACCTAACAATAAGCTTTGCAAATAACATCCTCTTTATAACACCAAACATCCAGCGGCCGGAAATAATGCCAGTCAAATTTGACAGCACTCGCAGAAGGATTGCCTAGACTGAACCTAACGAAGGCGATATTCTAAAAGACGGATTGGTTCAGCCTGTTTCTAAAAATGACGGAAACGAAAATGCTACTTTGGACTGTGGGGCTACGCACGGACAAAGACAGGATTTGCAAAATCGGCCTCAGGCTTGACGGGGCCGAAAAGGATGAAGACTTGAGAACAATTAGCCCTCATTATGACCAAACAATCAATCGGAAAAGTGGCATCAGCACACTGAAAAAGCTGATCTTGCTTCCAATTGTGACAAACGTGAAGAAGAGGAGACGAAGGATCAAATTTAGAAGCGTTTTTCTAATCGCTCACAATGACTTTGGTTATGCATGAAAAACCCTTGATAGCTTTGAGGATACGAAACTCCTGTCTGAAAGTTTAATAACAAGGGCTCTCATTGATTCGAATAAAAGTAAATTAATTTTAGTAGAACAAACTACCGTACTTTTCGTCTTTTTTCTCTGCGATGCTGCCGGAAATGCTTTTCACCGTCGGAGCACGTGGTCGCAGTGATTTACCTTCAGCTGTACCAATTGATGCTGTCATCCAGACGCTGAATTAAGGATGAAAAGGTAAGTTTCCGTTTCCGATTCCGTTACTTTTTCATGTTTTGATAAGCCTCTTGCAATCGACTTCCATTCAGTATCACTGTGGAGTTTGATTGCGCAATGTCCTATAGAATGACTATTGTTCGCAAACCAACGTATTAGGTTGATGCATAATTATTGCGGATTTTTTCGAGGCTTTTTTTCTCTCGATAGAAATTGAATATTGAGCTCAGGTTCTTTCTAGAAATGATCTACTTGATTTCCTCTACAAAAATGATCCTAGACAACCATCCGCATATTCGCGAAATCAGGCTCTACTACTTCGAGAAAAGATGGAAGGGGCAGAGTCATTCCGTGATCTCAGTAGCTTTTTT